ACGGTGGCGCAGGCCAGGGGCGGAACGGGAGGGAGGGCGAAAGACAGGCAGGCAGTAGAACCAGGGCTGGCGGAAACCGGGTGATTCGGGTCTGCCGCACAGATGGGCATTTAGGGCGTCCTGAGGGGCAGGGGCAACACTTAGAGGCCTCTCAGAAGGGCGAGGGACCATACAGGGTCCTCTCGGCCTCAGTTTTTGGATTTTGGTTTTTGGTCTGCCTTTCTTTTTCTATCTTTCTCTCTTTGATATTTGTTTTTGGTCTTTCTTTGCCTTCCTTCCTTCCTTCCTTTCCTTGAGACAGGGTCTTGCTATGTAGCCCAAGCTGGCCTGGACCCTCCTGCCTCAGCCTCCTGAGTGCTGGAATGACAGGCGTCTGCCACCACGCCTGGCTGCTGTCTGCCTCTGGCAGAGGTCCCAGAGCTGTGAGCCTAAAGCTGGCCCAGTGGGTCCTGGCACACACAACAGCCACCGTGAGGCCAGAAGGGCTTCTGGTACTGACGGTGGCAGCGATGTCATGGTCACTCCCCTCTGGGCCTGGATGCTGAGGGACTCAGGCGGGGCCTCGGTGGTCCCCGCTCAGGCTGGCTCGGGCCTGGCGCTCACAGACCCCAGCTACCCACCCGCCTGACCTGTGCCCCTACCCACAGCTGCCGCAGCGGAAACCGCAAAAGCTTGGTGGTGGGGACGCCGTCTCCAACCCTTTCCCGGCCCCTGTCGCCGCTGTCCATCCCAACCGGTGAGTAGGGGAGCAGCTGACAGGCAGGCGGAGCCATGTCGCCCCCGCTGACTCAGTTTCCCTGCCTCCTCCCCAGCAGGCAGCAGCCCCTTGGACAGCCCACGGAACTTCTCAGCTGCGGCTGCCATTAACTTCCCCTTCGCCCGGAGGTGAGCGGCTGTGGCGCTGCGGGGAAGTGGGCTGGGTCCCCTGGCGGTGGGACCACCCTCTCATCCGCCTTTCCCTCCCTGCCCTCCTGGTGGCCGTAGCCCCCTCTGCCTCGGGCAGCCACCTCCGCGCGATAGGTACCCAGTGCCCTATCCCCTCGCCCTGCGCCGACCTCTCACGAACTCAGCTGCACTTAATCGAGTCCGCTATGCATGCGGCCCTGTGCTGGGCGCTGTGAACCAGAGGCCGGGACTCCTCGGTCTGGCTGGCGGGGTGGCTTGAGTGGCCAGGCTGGCTGCGGGAGGAGGGCTCTGGGTCCCGGAAGCACAGCCCTGCCCTGGCCCTTCTCCCACCTGCTCCTGTCCCGCTGCTGCAGGGCTGATGGCAGAAGATGGTCCCTGGCGTCCCTCCCGTCTTCCGGCTATGGAACCAACACACCCAGTTCCACCATCTCGGTACCCATGGCCCCAGCCAGGCGGGTGTAGGGTGCCAGAACACACCTTGGGATGTTCCCAGGGGTCAGATAGCTCCGTGGGCTGTCTATGAGGTGCCGTGGCTCCAGTGGCCCTCCAGTCTGGAGGACACAGACATCCCCAAACTGGGAGGTCGGGATCGGGCCAGAGGCACATGTGGGACTGCAGGCCAGGAGGGCTTGCTGAAGGAGGGGGCATCGGAGGTAGGGTTTTGAGGGCTGCCTAGGAGATAGACAGGAGCTCAGATGGACAGTCTTGTGTCCTGGCTGTGGCCCTGACGCCCGCTTCCCGCAGTCGAGCTCATCCTCCCGGGAGCGTCTCCATCAGCTTCCCTTCCAGCCGACGCCGGACGAGCTGCGCTTCCTGTCCAAGCATTTCCGCAGCTCGGAGAGCGTGGTGGACGAGGAGGGTGGCCGCTCGCCCCGCCTGCGGCCCCGCTCTCGCAGCCTCAGGTTGGCCACCGACCTCTACCCTTTCCCGCTGGCCCGGGGACCACACTGCCCCCCTGCGCCTCGGCTGCCTCTGGGTCCTGTCACACAAGGCCGCCTGTCCCCCTTGCAGCCCGGGCCGCGCCACTGGCAGCTTCGATAACGAGATCGTGATGATGAACCACGTGTACCGGGAACGGTTCCCCAAGGTGTGCGCCGCCCCGCCCCCGGCCCTGGCTGAGGCCCGGGCCGTCCTCTGAGCCGTGACCCCTGTCCTCGCCAGGCCACAGCCCAGATGGAGGGCCGGCTGCAGGAATTCCTGGCCGCCTACGCGCCCGGCGCCCGGCTAGCTCTGGCCGACGGCGTCCTGGGCTTCATCCATCACCAGATCGTGGAGCTGGCCCGGGACTGCCTGGCCAAGTCCGGTGAGGCGCTGGTCACCTCGCGTTACTTCCTGGAGATGCAGGAGAAGCTGGAGCGGCTGCTGCAGGACGTGGGTGTGGGGCGTGGCCAGGGGCGGGGCTTGGGAGGGCTCGGGCGGGGCTCCGGGTGAGGGGTCGGGGGATTGCCCGGTGGGCGGGGCGATGGTGGGTGTGGCCTCGATGGGTGGGCGGGGCTGGCCGGCCTGACTCCTCCGCGCGACCCTGGGCAGGCTCATGAGCGCTCTGACAGCGAGGAGGTGGGCTTCGTGATCCAGCTCGTTCGGAAGTTGCTCATCATCATCGCGCGGCCCGCGCGGCTCCTCGAATGCCTGGTGAGTCTTAGACTGGGCCCGGGCCCTCGGCCTGGAAACGGTGACACCAGGCAGGGCCTCAGAGGGCACCGCACCCTGTGTGACTGGCTGTGCCTGCACCCCAGGAGTTCGACCCGGAGGAGTTCTACCACTTGCTGGAGGCGGCCGAGGGCCAGGCACGTGAGGGCCAGGGCATCAAGACCGACCTGCCGCGGTACATCATTGGGCAGCTGGGCCTGGCCAAGGACCCTCTGGAGGGTAAGTGGGGACAGCAGGCGCAAAGGCCCTGGGGCCTGAGGAACAGCAGTGAGGAGGAGGAAGGGGCTGGAGGGGGAGACAGGCCTCTTTCCGGCCCGACAGTCAGGTGGGCCCTCTGGAAGTGGCCGGGCCACAGGGTAATGGAGGGATCTGGGCTTGCAGAGATTGTGCCTCTGAGCGACATTGGTGAAGGACAGGCCCCTGCACCTGAGTCACCAGAGGTGAGTGGCCGAGCACTGGGTCCCCTTCCGTCTGTGCTTTCCCGTGTAAACCAGGCAGCCACAGGAGGGGCTGGGACGCTGGTGACTTTGGGGAGCAGCAGTGAGTGGGGCTGCCTTGAGGTGGGGTCCAGCACAGCTGGGCAGGGCACCAAAAGGGTGGGTTCTGCAGGGTGGGTAGTGGTTTGTTAGGGGAAAGGTACAGCTAGACGGAAAAATGCTTAGAGACTTGAAGGCTGATTTGAGAAGTTTGGGTAGGGAGGAAGCCACGTGGGCCCCTGGACAGGCAGCATGGACCTGGGGACAGGAGGTGGAGTCTGGCCAGCTCTGCAGTGGGCAGGACTGCCGAGCCCTTTGTGTCCCCAGAACCGCGCCCTGGGCGGCCCGTCACGGAGAAAGCCCTGTGAGAGAGACTTTGAGACCATCAAGCTCATCAGCAACGGGGCCTATGGGTGAGTTCTCAAATCCCCCGGGTGTGACTGAGGCCCCGGAGCCCCGACACCGGCCTTGTCGAGGAGACTCCCGGCATCACCCTCAGAAGTGCACACAGGGCTGCAGAAGGAGGCAGAGGCACAGCACAGCCAAGTGCTTGCCCGGGATGGGCTCCATCCCCATTCTTGCTCGGAGAGCAGTGTGTAGGGAAATCTTTCCTGACCAAGGCCTCTGCACACAGGCACCGGAAGTCACCATGGAGAAGCGGTAGGGTATCCCAGCGAGGAGGAGCACTGCAGAAAGGGCTTAAGCATGTGTGTAGGAGTCTGCATCGCAGTTGGCGAAGCAGCAGCAGCCTGGGGGCTTCCTGTCTTCAGGGTGTAGCATTTCCAAGGCGAGAAGGATAGGTCAGCATGTGAGCTGCTTCCCAGTAGGCTGTGAGCGAAAGGTCTTGGCCTAGTGTGAAGAAGTAAATGAATGGGGCAGCGCACGGTGGCACACGTCCGTCATCCCAGCTACTTGGGAGGCTGAGGCAGGAGGGTCTCAAGCCGAGCCTAGAGGGCACCTTGGTGAGCCCCTGCCTCAAAACAAACAATAAAAAGGGCTGAGGTGTGGCTTAGTGCTGAGCGTGTGGTGAGGGCAGGTGGGAGCCCCTGGTTCCATCCCCAGCACTTGAAAAAAGCGAACAAAAAGTAAACAGCAGCCCAGCCCGGCAGGCTGGGTTCCGGTTGGTCGTCCCGAGGCCCCAGCAAGCCCCCTCTCCAGGGCCGTGTACCTGGTGCGGCACCGCGACACGCGGCAGCGCTTCGCCATCAAGAAGATCAACAAGCAGAACCTGATGCTGCGGAACCAGATCCAGCAGGTGTTCGTGGAGCGGGACATCCTCACCTTCGCGGAGAACCCCTTCGTGGTCAGCATGTTCTGCTCCTTCGAGACGCGGCGCCACCTGTGCATGGTCATGGAGTACGTGGAAGGTACTGCCCCGCGGGCCCCAGGTGGGGTGGGGTGGCCGTGTGCAGAAGGGGCCGTGCGGCCCCTGCCGGCCTGGGGAAGATCCAGCAGGTGTTCGTGGAGCGGGACATCCTCACCTTCGCGGAGAACCCCTTCGTGGTCAGCATGTTCTGCTCCTTCGAGACGCGGCGCCACCTGTGCATGGTCATGGAGTACGTGGAAGGTACTGCCCCGCGGGCCCCAGGTGGGGTGGGGTGGCCGTGTGCAGAAGGGGCCGTGCGGCCCCTGCCGGCCTGGGGAAAA